TGCGGGCTTTGCCCATCGATAAAATCTGACATTTTAAGAGTCGAAGAACCATTTATTTTCTTGATTGTGAGCTCAAAATAATCGTAATCGGATGTTACATTTTCAACAAATTTTAATTTTGATTGATCTGGTGCGCTATTGAAGCATTGTATTGCGCTGAGACGTTTAATATTCTTCAATATTATTCTTTGTGTTCATTATTTGACTAATTTCCAATATAAATATTGATTAATGATTTATTAAAAATCCTGATAATGCATTTATAGAGTTGACTTACTCTTTAACAATTTTATTGCGTAAAATATTGAGATTTGTACTAATTATTGATTGCTCATAATAAGTATTAAAAATTTATGTTTTCTATTCCTCCGTCAATTATTTAACAAAATACAAAAACTTGACGTTTAAAAAGATTAACTTGTTTTATTTACAATAAATAAATCCACTATTTTAAAGTTTATTTGTTGGAATTTATAATATTTTATTCTTTCACAAGTATTACAGTTCGCTTGACATTTGTACATTGTGACATATATTAAGTTCAGTAATGGCCGCTGGTGGATTTGTAAATTCGAGCAACGGATTTAGCAGAATGCGCACATTGTAGAATAAACAGTTGCGTGGACAGTGTCATCTAAATCCCACGAATTTTGCTGGTTTTTTATAGTACCGCAGGGCACACTTAATTACGCCACAATTATGCTTTCTCTCACGTTATTAAAAAAAAAACAGCTCTTATTGTTGTTACAGTGGATTACCCATTATTATATTTTGCGAGACATATAATACTTTCTTTTAATATTATTTAAATTTATACGAATTTCATAAATTAATATTAATGTATGTTTTTGCCGAGAATTTTGTAACAGTTGAAAAATTAAAAATAGTTTTTACTGCTTTTTAACGATTAGTTTTTAACGTTAATTACGACAATTAAAATCGACAATTTTTTCTATTAATTCCGCATAATATATATACATATAACTAAGATGAGAAATATATGTACCATCATCTGATCATCGATATCGGAGAATTTAAGCTATAATTGTACCAAAACTTGAATAATAAAAGTTGCGGTAGCTCAAGATCCATTAATGGTTTCTTTAATGGAAGCAATTTATCCTTTTTCCATCTTGTAATCTGTGTGACGAGAAGCGATGTTGTGGAAAACCAAAAAGTGGAACAGGAAGCAAAAGTCGGAGGTGTCTATTAAGAAGTCCGCTGAATATTAACGCGACGAAATGTTTTCTGACGCCGCGGCGCGGAGATTAACGAGGCGATTATTAAAATATGCAGTACGCCGGCCTAATTAGCCCGCCAATGAAACCAAGAAGTCATCTACTCTGCTTGCTATCTTCTTTAGTTTTACAAAGGTCGCGAACTTTAGCACGACGCAATTTCGCCGTATTACCTTGCTCAATTTACGTGACAAGTCAAGCTAACTCGAGCGCTGTTTTATGGTTGTTTTTCATAGATTTACTTTTATGATAATATTTTTTACATTAAAAGACTTAACGACAAGAATTTAAGAGATCATTTTGTATTCAGAACATAAAATTTCAGTGAGAATAAAACATTCCAGGAAATATAGGGAATTAAAAAATTTTATGAGGTGCCAGGATATAAAAGAGAATTCAACAAAAATCTCAAGATTTATGTCTTAGATACGTATTACAAAAAAAAATTAGTATTCTATAAAATTTTCTCAGTCGGAGAAAGAGAGAGAGAGAGAGAAAAAGAGAGAAATGATTTGTTGCATTATTATAACCAATGCATGTAGTTGTTACGTATTTTATTGTACTATTTTATTATGTTATGAATCAATATAACTTATTTATAAAAGTAATCTCTGTTTTCCAGTGTTACAATATTTTACAACCATCTATCACACAAAAAAGCTGTTAGTTTTTTTTCATATCATCAACCTATCGGTAACATAAACGATAAAAAACGTAACTGCTAATCTATTTTGCCTTACAACGTAGCGGTAATGCTACAATAATCTCGCGTTTTATGTACAATCCATAAAGTGCGAAGGGAAGAATAGCAACGAATTTTTGTTAACAACAGTGAGATTAATGCAGCGAGTTAAAAGAGTGAATGAGAAAAAGTGACTCGCACGCGCGAAAATGCAAAAAAAAGCCACTCTCGGCTACTTATGCGAAAGTGCGCTTCGTTTGTCGCGACAATTAACGGAGCGTCGACGCAGGCACGCATGCACGCATGACACGCTCGTTATAACGAACGAGCCTCGTCAGAGAAATTCTGTCGTCGTGCCGTAAGCAGAACAGACAGAATCGTTACCAAAATTTCACGTCGCGCGCCACGTCGCGCCGACGAGACGTACAGCGAGATTCGCAGTTTACGCAATCGTTGGTGTAACCGTTGTAATTCAGCCTTACTGCATAGAACGCGATAAAGTAGACGCACACTTACGCGTCGCACACAACACACCTCCGGCGACAGACTTCCGTGATTCTCGTAAAACGCGATATCGCCGTGTCGGGCCGCGCGCATTATTCTCCGACGTGGCAGCTACTGCTGCGCGAACATTATTAATCATTTTTGATCATCGCCCGCTGTCGTTGCAAAAATGCCATTTTGCATTTTACATCGAGCCATCTCTTGGCAAGTTGCAAGACAACTTTCGAATGGGATCGCATCGGACCGAGAAGTGCGTGAGCCGGTGAAAGCGTCATGTGGGCGACACAAAGCATGCTTTGTATCTTTATAGTTCGCGCTTGTTTGATCAAGGTTAAGAATAGGAATGCTTGAAATTCAGTTTATTCAACGCTGCGACTATGGGATTTTGTTGTTTCACATAATTTATATTCAGCTGGAAATTTATCGAAGTAGACAGCTTATTTTTTGTTCCCATGAATTATTCTTTTGCATATTTGTTATACATTATTTATTCATGGCATTTGCTAATATTGTAATAGCAAATTAAGAAAAATACAGCGTTATGTACTGTTACACAGTGTATACATATATTATATATTTACAATGACATTTATGTAAAAATATATTTAAGCCTTTAAAAATTGCCGACTATATTTTAAATATTACTTCAAAATACTCTTCTGATTATAATTTATACACACATTGTTTTGGTAATTAAGTGATAAGAATTAAATATTTATTTATATAGATAGCATTAAATTACTTTTTAACGCTACGATATCGCAACAATTTTATTGTCGTTATTCATATCCACGACATTTACATGATTATACTTTCTCAGAAAAGATAGTGCAATTATTCCCGCATGGCAGCATAATCATCATACCACTGAAGATAAATAAATCATACTTTGTCCCAGTTGACTTTCGTTTTTGTACTTCTATCCAATAGCTACTTAAAAATAACATTTAGCTTTAACATTTGACGATGTGCGTAAAGACGTAAACGAGACAACCGCACAATACGTGCGCACACGTATATGTGTAATCTGTTCCGTGTTGCGTAATTGCAAGTGCTGAAGTCCTCAGTCGCAATTGCTGCGTTCTCCTAATATAGTCGAATAGGAGAAACCGAATGCATTGCTGATTAAAAAGATGTTAACGGCAGTCGGAGAAAAGGCCGTTATGAAATTTCACTTTACCATCTGTCCCTCTCTAATTAGACGTAAGTTAGATTGATGCGAATTAATTCGATTTACATTATTATGGTGGAATGTTTAATATGATTTTTTAAATGAATTTATTGTTCCAGTGACATATAAATATTTAAGTTTATAACTGCAGATTATGAAAATACTATATATGGAAATTTATGTATTATTCGCACATACACGCACACACACAGAAACGCTTTTATTTAAAAAAAATACATTTTTATAAATGTATATATATATAATTACAAATTTCATAATTAGAATTTACGATGACGCTTTTCAAATGTAAAAGAAAATTAATTACGTATTCTTGCTATTTTTAATATATTTTAAAAGTTTAATACTTTAATAAATAATATTAATAAATAATTGAAAATTATATTACTTTACAATTAACTATATAATTTTATTATTTGTACTATTTATCTTTGGTAATGTATTCGATTTGTATTATTGATTTATGATTTGTTAAATTTCTTTATATAATACTTTTTTTTGTATAATTTCTTTGTATACTTTGATAAGTCATAGTTGACGTAATATAAAATAATAAATATCTCTTTCGAAGAGAAAGATATCTCGTCAATATACTTTATTGGTAGTGGAATATCTATGAGAAAGATGAAGTATTTAGAGAAATTTTTCAAGCTGTATTTTTTAAAGGAGACTACTCTAATAATAAATCAAGATTATTAATAATTAATTTACGATTTAAAAAGAACTCAGCAATTTATAACGCATCAGTTTTTTTTTCAGAAAGCTGATGCGTTATGAATTTCTGAATCAAAATCATGCATAATAATGATTTTAACTTATAGATTAATGTTAGAAGTTATGTAAATATTAAGACAAGATATGTCATTTAATTTTCCAAATAACATGAATTACATAAGATATAGATATCTAAAAGACGTCTTTTAGACATTTTATATAACATAAATGTTATCTGAGTTATTAAACGTTATTATTGAAAAATGTAATATATTATTTTGAAAAATTTTAAAAGCTTTAAAATTTATAAAGGAATGTATACCTATGTATGAAGATATTATTAACTGATTATTATTGAAGTTAAATTACTGTTACATTTTAATATTTTTTTAACTAATTTCGAATTTGCGAATAGCTTTCTTAAGTCATTCGCCATTAAATGAAACCGTTGTTTATTTGGTAGGGAAATGTGCATATATACTTTCTTACAAATTTTCCTTTAAATCTTTATTTCGAACACGCAAAGACTAATTTTTTTCTATATTAATATATAAGCTGACTGAATTGTTAAATCAAATTGCGAGAAAAAATTTGCGCGTATTTTATTTCTTTTATCATCTATTCGACTTAAATATACGTATCGATATTAATTGCCTTTCCATTTTCTTTACAGACGACTGTCCAAACTGCGTGGACGAACATAGTAGCAGCTTGGCGGCTTCAAGATGGACGATGCCTTTACTGAAGCTGGGCGAGAAGAGATACTACCTGGGGATCTTCTTCAAGGTATCGCTCCTGCCAGTTACGCTGATTTATCTGACCGAACCGTCGACCCGACCCGGGTCTTGGACTTTATCAAATTATTTCCGAGCTCGTAACTTTCCGGCTTTGCTGTCACGGACGGTTTTACGGTGCATCGAATGCCGGGAACCAGGATAGTAATAAGGGTCTTTTCGGATAACAGTGACCCTATGTTGGTTGCAGCAGAGAATCTCGCGTGATGAAAGAAGTGAAACACATAGAAAAGAAACGAAACATTTGGCACGTAAAAGAAAATTGAAAGAGTTCCAAGCAAAAGTGATTTCAAATTGTAAACGCCAAACTTATTATTATAAATAATATAAATTATATGAGCAAAAAATCGAAATTTTCTAGTTACACATATATCGATATGTTTAAATAATAGTGATGTTTTCTTATTAAAATCTCATCTGGTATTTAACGCAAAGTTCTTGTTTGTTTTAATTACAAGTGTTAAACGATATCGATACAAGAGAGAAAGAAATAACATATTGCATGTATCCATTTCAATTAATTATTTATATAAATATAAAATACGAGAGAGAGAGAATTATTTTCTACGATAAATTCGTCAAAATAAAATTATAGATTCTTTTATGAAATTTGTGACAGTTTGAAGTTGAAAGCATATCTTCTGTCTCGAGGATTTCGCAGGTAGTGCTGATCCCATGCGGGTCTTTCGAGAGCGTCATTCCTGGTTCTGACGTGTGTAAACGCGTGTCCGCACGCGAACACAATCGTATCGATTAGAGACGCCCTTATTACGGCTTCCCGGATAGCCTAGGCGCTTTTATTGACTCACGTGCTATTAACACGGATTTCGTAATTCCATCGCTGCTGCGGATCCGGTCGGAGCGACCTCGCTAGAGATGGATGGTAGTGACGTAAAGGCGTTCGTTTAATCGGGCTTTTCGCAACAAAAGCGTGAAGAGGAAAGAAGTGGAAATTCGCTCCTTCTCTCTTGATCCTCTCTTTTAATCGGATCACCAAAGACGAGTCCTCTTTGTTTCGCAAGCAAATAATGGACGGTGCTCCATTAATCGAGACCTTGCAAAACAACTTTGTTCGTTGCCGGGCAATGACCGACTTTTCCACTAAATTTTGTGGTTCTTCTGATGACAGAGAATGTTTGCCTCTCTCTTCAGTGAAGAACTTATTTAAGTTAGGAAAGGAAACGGTTGGGGGTGAAAGTCAAGTTCTAGATTGCAAACATGCCACTTGTTCTCTTGCTGCTCCAATTAATCCATCTGTTTGACTTGTGGCGAGATAAGTATCCTTTATGCATGTCTTTGATGGACTAAAGTGTATCGATCCTACTGAATTATAAACGGGTCATTCATTAAAGGAATTCTATATTTATTTGTGATTCTATATGTTGATATCTCCACATAATTTTTGAATCCCAAACGATTTTAAATGATAAAAGATTTCACATTTATTAACGTCTTCTGTTTTTATAATAAGGAATTAGAAATAAAGTTCATTGTGCAGTACTTACCATTAAAAAAAAAACGTAGTCAAAATCATAGAAGCACAGAAAATTAGATTAATTGTTAAAAAGTGGTTCTACTATTTTTTAAAAGTATATTGTAATAGTGACTCTTAGACTCTTAAGGTGACCCTATACGGTCAATAATATTGAATTAGTAATACTGACAGTACACATCAATATTTTTAGTATTTCCATAACCTTACACGGTATTATTGACAATATATTTCACTTTAGTTTTACGTATACGATATCTATTGTGACATACTGTGACATGAATCCTAATAAAGCGATACCGATACTCGAGAATCAAAATCCAGATCGTCGTCAGTATTCTACGTCAATCCATCAATATTAACCGCGCATCAATAATATTGTCAATATTTGTTAATACTGACACTATTATTGACCATATATAAGATCACCTTTATTTAATAAACGAGAACGTTCAATAAACGCTGTTAACTTTTGTGCAATCTATATATTTAATATAATCATATAATTATTACTTTTACACTAGCTTAATATCAGTCCCCAATTTTCCTTGTTTTTTATTGCCTGAAAAAAAACAAATGTGTGCCCATTTAGAGAAGACAAATGTTTCTACTTTTTAATTACTTTCTCTTTAATCTTTATTTTCTTTCGTTACGCGGTATGTCCTGAAACAGTATTCGGAACCGAAAAGCCAATAGCGTGCCACTGATCGTCACGTACGATTGCTGTTTCGTTTAGGGAGGATAGACCGAGCTTAAGCGAAACCATCGTGCACGAGTAACGACGAGTTCGTGCCGACGTTTCGTGGCGGCGCAGGAGAGCGTATACGCTGCGAGATTCGAGCGGAAAGGGAATGCAGCGGTAATGCAACTCCGCCGTGTCGGGCCGCTCCCGTGCAATCGCGACGGCGCTCTATTTATTGCGCTTTATTTGCATTCCCAGCAGGTTACACTCGATTTTTCGCGTCCTTCGCGTTCCACCTTGCCCCATCGTACACGCCAGACGGATCGGCGAAAGAGCAACGAGAGAACAGCGATGAAATTCGGTAGCGTTGACATTGACGGAGTGAAAGTCAATATTTATCATGCTCTTGAATACATTTTTTATAAAGAGCTAAATGTGTAAGTGAAAGATGTATACGATATATATGCCATACACGCAGATATTGGAACAACAAATAATAATAATAAAATGGATTGCTAAAAAAAAATTATTGCAGTAATAATGTTGTAAGAATAAATAAAGATAATATAAAAAATTTATAGCGGACCCAAAGTATGTCATAATTATGATGGTAAAATAAAAATTAAAAAATGAGTCTTATAAACATTAGGATTCATTTTTTTTTTAAAAAGAATTAAAAACATTTTTTTTTAGAATTATCTTATAGTTTTTAATTTCTTCATTAGTCATTAAACACTAATTAAAATTATTAATTAAAATTTAATTTATATGTACTCATATATTAATTCTGAATTTAGTGTCTATTACATTAACATGGAGATCACTTTGCAGTTAAGACAAATAATTTACATAAGCATTAGCTACCAGCGGTGTTAATTACCGGCGATGTTAATTTGAACAAACTTTAATTAGCGTAGCGTTTAAGATCCGAAAAGATTCATTAAGTTCTACGGAACAAGTAGAATATGCAAAATTCTCTCTAAGTTGCGATAATCTTTCACTTTTCTTAAATACTCTGCGTATGTAAAAGCAATATATGCTTAGATTTGTGCGATTTTTATAATAAATTTTCTTTACTTTAATATATACTATAATATTTATGAAATGCATATTTAAAAAATTCTTTAATGATAAAAAGTAATAATGAAACAAATATTTGCATGTCGCATCCGATAAGTTTGAATTTATTATCGTAATACTATTATTGCGAAATTTTGAATTAAAAATTATGTTAATCTAACTTAACAACTTGGCGAATTATCAAAATATACAAGACGCACCAAAAGTTGCACCCCATATATATTTTGCAGAAGTATAGCTGCTATATATATGTATGTTTCATAATAGTCGCGTTGTCGTTCTCAAGAATTCCAAGTGGATAACCCAGTCTCTCAATAAACGTGTCTTATGCATTCTAATTATGCCGATAAGAAATTTTGTGGACCACAAATAGAACCTCATAGACGCACTACGTTCTGTGATTTCCTATCACAGTTTGATTTTGTGATTATTTGTTATTGCAAAGAAGAATGCGTTGTATTGTGTTGTATAATATGTTGCATTATTAAGGATGCTGTAAATATGGAGATGGCACGTATACGATGTGTGATAGCCGAGACCACTTTTGCACTTAAATGGTCGCAGCGATGCGACGAAACACCACGAGGGAATTCGTAACGATCGTAAAGAACTGCCAATGAAGTCAGAGTTGTTCGTGCTTCTGCAATGTACCACGGTCATAAAAATCACATAATGTAGTGCGAATAACCGAATCGAAGTCACACAGCCGATACGTTGAGTAATATTGAAATGTCGAAGTACAAATTCGTACGTTCAACGTTCATCAGGTTTCAAGCGCATAAAATATTGCGATGTGGAGGTTATATTGAAAATATCTATGCTAAACTTAGCTAAACATAAGATATACATATATGTACGTGATTGTTTTGGAAAACGATGGAAGATCAATTTTTAATTCAGGACATTTAAAAAAGTTTGGAATATTCTTGTCTGTTACTGAAAATTTTAATTCATTGAGGAAGACTGATTTTTTTTCTCTTCACAGTAATATTTCTATCATAATTTTTAACAAAGTTCATTAAAAACATTATTAGCATTCTTTTTCCTTATATTCAGAATTTTTAGTATAATCTGGTTTATCTTAAGAATTAACAAACAAAAGTCTTTGCATTTAATGATTGAATTATACCGCAATATTAGCAGTTTTGATTATTCATGAGAAAAATTCATTCTATTTTTTTTCGTATTTTTTTATGCAATAGTATGTATTATTGATACATTAAATATTATCGTTAGTAATATGTTAGTAATATTCCAAACAGGTTCTCGAATATAATCTGTCGAAATCGATACCAGAATGGTGATTATATAACTTTAGTGTGAATATTAATGTGCTCCTACAATCTGTATGCTGTTAATTATTAATACCGACCAATCTGCTATAATCAATGACGATCACGAATGTTAAATATAAATGTTAATGACAGCTTATCTCTATCATAATTTGATTACACATAATTTACCAACAGTTCAAATGTTGCTCTTTTGTCATAATTATTGTGATGTTTAATACATAATAATTTAGGTCATTGCTTTAGGTCACATTTATCTCTCACAGTATTCCTTTTTACATAATTGTCATTTATGAATTAATCCGTTATTTAGCATCATAAATGATTTATAAATTATATTTATAAATTATTTGTATATAGTACTAGCCACTAGGCGTATAGTAGATATTTTATCACAAATTTAATGTACATCGATATTTGTAGCAAATAATAACAACAAATTATTACATCATTTTTAATACATTTTATTTTGCATATACTTTATGCAAAATATCTTGTACAATTAATGACGTTTGCAAAAAAAAAAAACGTTAGAGTAAAGTATTACCATCCCTTCTTTGCATTGCAGGCAAACTGGTACAGAGCCTCGCAATACTGTCGTTATCACGGGATGCATCTGGCGAGTATAGCCTCACAAGAGGAGAACGATAGACTTGAGAAGCATATCAAGGATTTCGGTCTCGGTCACGAGCATTTTTGGACTTCTGGCACCGATCAGGCCGAGGAGGGAACTTTTTTCTGGATGGCTAATGGTAGGCCGATCACGTTCGAGAATTGGAACGTCGGCGAACCAAATAATTTCCGGTAAGGGTGCTTTACGATCGCAAATAATTTACATTCTTTCTGATATTGATCGCGGAAATTCCGTCCTACTATTGCGATATGATTGGCATAAATCAGTTATTTAGATATTAAAACTCGTTTCTGGTGAAAGGTGTTCTCATGGAGTCTTTAATGGCAAAAGAAACTTAATTTCTGTGATTTCGGTGATTTCAAAAGAAAGTTTAGTACTTTATTTGCGTAATTATAATATATTTACATAATATTCTTTGAAAACACAATTATAACACCTTCAAAAAGAAAAAAAAATAATAACAGATATTTCAATCAATTTCTGTAATGTATGTTAGTTATATTTTCAAAATTATTAAAGCTATAGTGATTATGTCTTACAATACTTTATATACATTACAAATTTCCAAACTTTTAAAAATAAATATATAAGGAGATGTAATTTTGATTTTTTAAGGTTGATATCAAATACGTTATTATATAACTTACTTCCTTATCCATTTTGTTGCTTAAAATAATACGGATTTCATTTAATCTTCTCATTTTCTTTCAGATACGAGAACGGCGAAGAAGAACATTGCCTGGAGCTCTGGAACAGAGATGGCAAAGGGCTCAAATGGAATGACAGTCCTTGCAGCTTCGAGACTTTCTTCGTCTGTGAAGTGCAGTGATCAATTTGCGAGAAAGGCTGAAAGAAGGGACTAAACGCACGAAAATATTCGTATGCAAATATCAGTTTATGGCATGTCAACAAAGTGATCCTCGAGGAAACTGTGTGTGACATTCTCATTGGTCGTCCATTCGTTTCAGTGGACTTAGCAAGGTAGAGAGACTTGACGTGACATGTGCACTCGGACTGAAAACGATGCGTGATTAGCCAGTCGCTACCGTTGTTACGTTTTACACGTCCAGAATTCACGAGTGTGTACTCAAAACGACAACTAATTCAGTCAGTTCTTTTCGTAAAAGAATCACCAGGCGACATACCGAGCGTTGGTTAAATCCGCAATGTCGAATGATAAAAACAATTTATTTGCTTTTTGTGCAGAGGCAGTTCCACATAGAATGCTTGACATTAAATTATGCAATATATTTAAGATTTTACGTATTTAAAAAGTCTTGTTTTAAATTTAAACAGCAATAGAATAAAAATTAACATTTTTATTCTTAAAAAGAGGAAGCATAAACTACAGAAATTTTTTATATGTTTATATTTTAAGTATATACATATACATTTTTTTATATATAAATCTTTAGATACGTATAATCATCGATACATTTTACATATTTTTTATTGTTTATATCTTTTTAAAAATCTAGTTTTACCTCAGCTTATTAGAGATGATCTTATAAGTTACTGCGTGAAATCTTACAAGACGACGCGTGAAATTTTTATTTACGCGCAATCGAAATATCGATTGACGAATATTTCCCTATGTTACAGATATTGCTATTTATTTGTTAATTCGATATAAAAAAATTATGAGAAAGGCAATATTAAATATCCATATGTTAACATTGTCGTAAATTATTCCTATATTTGTATTAATTCATTATTATACAATATCAGATTGTCGTAAAATGGCTTATTTATGCCATAATGATTGCCTCTCAATTCTTCGATTATGGCGAATTTGAAAGTTTCTGACGCATGGTGATATCATATCTTGATCAAGTAATTCTCTAATGAAACGTAGATTGATGTATGTATTACCGAGACACTACCGTGTCTTCAGATAGAAATTTAAACATTTGTAATTATTAAAATAGCCAGTGCATGCACAATGAATTATTTTGACGCATGTGTATCTTTATTATGCAAGTATATCTTGCAAGTATATTTTTATTATTAAATCAAATTAGACAATTTTTTAGCTATTGAAGGAACGATTGACCTAATTTATCGATGTTACATACGAAATAGTTAATTAAGTCGAATGAATTATTGTCGACATTTACTAATTTCGAATGTGTGCTAACATTACCATATTTTAGTTTTGTATATCTTAACATATTATGCGAACATCGTACATAATATGCATGTATATACATACATATATACATATGTAAACTGTATATATTTACGCCGCACACTAGATAATGATTGCTACAAGTAATATTGTTAGTAGTAAGAATTAACCAAAAGATTCTTTCGTGATGCTATAATGTTTGATATTAAGAAGTGCAGTTGTTTAGTTACTGACATTATCAATTGAGTCAATTTCAGTAAAATATTTTACCAGGAGCAACCGTAACTGTTATTGATTCGATAATTTTAATCATTAATAAAAATAAGAAAGTATTATTAAGTTTTGGATTTGTTCATTTATTCATTTTTATAATCTTTCGTGTCATTTAAAATTCTATTATAGATAAAATAAAAAATCTTTAATTTGTATGTAGTAATACATTTGTAAAAATTTAAATTTTTCAAATCATAAATATCGATAAATTCGAGAATTACCTTTATGTCTTTGAGATTTTATTTGCGACCTTTCTGAATTTTTGGATATTAAAAATAATAGTGTTCTTGTCATGTCTGCATTTTAAGCTTTTCGACATAATTTAAAAAAGGAATTTAAATTTCAAATCCTATAATTAAAAAATCTGATATTCTACTCCTTACACTCTTTTTTAGCGTGGTGCGCTTGAATCTCCAATTTTACTGTTATAATTAGCAACGATGCCTGCATGCGTTGTTGAATGAAAATATAGCTCGTTCAGCGTCATAACGGTCACGATCTGCGTTAATTAGGTCGTAGTATAAATGAGCATCGTGATAGATCTCGTTTGGACAATAGTTAGCCTTCATGGTAAATGAAACGAGGGTTCGTCGTTGTACTCTATGTATTCTATGTATTCGCCGTTACAGAGAATGGTGTTGTACATGCCATTATTTAGCGCTAAATAATAAAATCAAAATTATTCTTTGATTTTCTGATTTATTAAAATATACTACATTTATATACATTTACATCATTTCTGTATTTTTATATTAATTTAATTCTTGAAATCTGGTGCTGAATTGTGTGTGTAATGATGCGTTCCGTTAATTAATTAATTCGTTTATCACATTTTCTGATAAATTCAACGATAAATATATTACTGTTACATTTTCGGAACAGAAAGTATATGATTTACATTTCTTTATTATTACTCGTTATATATCAAATTAAAACGGATAAATAATAATTATTTTAATTATTTTAATAATTAATGGGTACAATCTAATTATTATACAACTTTTCTAACTTATTTTGTATTCTGTTTAACTTTTGCATTAAACTAATAATAATAATTCTTACTTTTTAGTTATAGAGATTTATTGAGTACATTTTATTTAAAATATTTAGTTGGCTTTATTATTTTTTCCTAATCTCCTTTATATAGAATGAAGATTTATTAGATTGTATAAATAGAAATATCAAATATTAAAAGAAATTATTTTACAATGCTAGGTATACATATATCTCTGTTATGTCATATTTACAAGTCAATAAATCAATATAAAAAACTTTCAGAATTTATGCTGTAGTATGTATATGTTCAGGATTAATCTCGGCTTGACTGCAAATAACTAAAAAAAAAAGGAAGAAAATATTATTAATACTTTTAATTTACTAACAGAGAGAGAGAGAGAGAGAGAGAGAGAGAGAGAGAGAGAGAATTGGAGTTGCTTTAATGGAAATTACAGGTGATGTTCTATCGCCACGCAATCTTTTCGGCCGACGAGTTGTGTTTCTGACGGAGTCCTACTGCCATTTGAGCACTCCACTTTCTTATCTAGATTGACAGAAGCAATTAGTAGCTCTGTCGATTTTTCGCCAAAGGAAATAACAGTATTCTCCAGAGAATGAGAACGATTCGAAGGGAGAAAAAATAGAAGTGGTTGAAAGGGTTATTGAGTTTGGGGGATATGAAAGAGGAGGGTTGATAAAGATTAATGAGAGCATTGTTGAAATACACAGTATAATGTTACATAAAATATTGTTATATAAACGAGTGAAATAGATGTCACTGTAAATTCGCAACTGCAACTTTTTATGGTAAAATTACAGTGCTATAGGCATCATAATGCATTATATACATTACAATTAATGTAATATTAATTAATTAATACAACCTAGGCTGTATATAAACATTTATTATTCTACCTACAAAAGAATACGTATTATAGTAGATAAGCCAAAATAAATTAAAGAGACAATTTATACCAATAATAATGAATTTTTAACTTTATAATTATCGCGACAACGCAAAATGAATTTTCAATAACTTCCTTTTCTTTTCATTTCTTTTACGCGAAGGTTAGAACACGCTTAATACATTCATATAGCACAGGATAATCGTTAGCGCATCGCATAAATATTTTTCGTATTTTTAATAATCTTATTTACATAGGCTGTGTGAATTCGCCGGCTAATGATTTCCATTTCAATTCTCGTTCGACCATTTTGTGCAGATATGTATGATAAAACAGATAAAAAGAAGCCAAGCGTGTTATGCACACTTTAGGTATATATTAAATTTTATTATGCCACTGGACCGTCCACTATAACAAGCAATTTATGCTGCGGCACTTTATTTAGACGGCAATAAATGCAGATTCACTAGAAAAGCGACGGGGTTCCGCGGGAGGGCCATAAACAGTGTGCAACAACGCATTCAATGCAACAACAGGGCCGCTCTCGTTCTTTATGACGCGGATCTGTCGTAATGCGATACGTGCGAAATCTTTAACATGCGGCCACTGTACCAGTCCAAGTTTTCAGATATTTATCGAATGACTGTTGCACGATCTTCTCGCAATTTCACTTTTACGTTACGATTGTGGAATGGATTCGCAATTGAGGAAAGAATGTGCTCTAACATTATTTCCAAATCTAACATAAATTACGGAGTAATCTAGATTTACGCGATTAAAGTATTTCTGATTTTTATTTTACGTAAATTGGTTGTGTAAATTGCGATCAGTCTATCATCACAATATCTACATTATTAAAAAAATGTTTTATACATTACTCTTTCAATAAATTTAATTTGCCGATGTTTGAATTAAATACGGAAAAGATATATAGGGTAAATACAGCTACATAACATGGATTAATAAAAAATATGATAATTTTTTTGCAATTTATTCTTCTAATCTATTTAACATTATTTTTTTAAATCTATTTACAATATTATATACATATATTGGTTAAATATATATCTTCTGTACTAAATTAATTAAACATATCATTCATAGTTTAAATAGAAATCTATTTTATCAAAAAACTTACAACGTTTATAAAAATAAATATTTTAGGAAAATTTGATATAATTACCTATTAAAATTAATATCTATTAAAAGCAATATCTTAGAACAATAAATATAAAATGTTCCATAGTGTATTTAATTATCTCAATTATTATCAGCAATCGCGTTACTACTTGATTGCTAAATGTCTGCAAAATCAGTAAACGTAAAGTCTTGTTGTATATTCTTGTCTTTATCGACGATCGATGTACCGAGAAACATATCTACAATTTCTACTACTGATAATAATTTGAAGCCAACCCAGAGAGCAAAATACCTCCATGGTATTAGTACGGTGAGCGTACGGCGTACTATGCGTGCCGATACCGTACCTGTCAGGTACGTGCGTACCTAAAGGGTACAGTACCGGTACACCGTACTTTTGGTACACCGTATCGATAATGTACGCCTTAGGTACGCATGTTACTAAAATTAATTAATTTTATAGTTTTATTGCTAAAATGAGTATTATTATTGATTAATATCTTATTCCAGAGTACACATCATAAAATTATGATGAAAAAAAAAAAGATTTTCCCTGAATTCGGGAACTAATTTCATAGTACTTCGAAGCCGTCACCCATCCGATTGTATACCGCCATTTACTATAATGCGTGACTTCTGAAATTAATGCGTGACTTCTGAAATCGTTTGGAAACCGCTGCACTTCGATGATCCACGAACTGCACTTGTATAATCGTGGATATATAGCTATGATATATCTGTTCAATATATGGTTCTGATAGAAATTTATGCAGTTCTCAACTGAACATCCAGTCAGTTA